TCTGAAACTTCTTTTGGAATGCCTTTGTTAGCATCGCCATGGCATGTTTGATTTCAGTCATTTCAGAGTCTGAACCAGAGCTGTTGCTTTCTTCACTTGTTGATTCGCTTGACTGGCTGATCTCCTTTACTTGCTTCCCAGATCTGCTTTTCCCTTTCTTTTCAGATACAAAGGCTAAAGGATCAGCAACTTCCTTTTCCTTTTTCTTCTTAGAATCTCGGACCTCTAAAACTTCTTCCTCGTTCTGCTTCAGAGTTTCATAAATCCCATATATGTCGATATCAGATAAGGATTTGTTGAATCTGATATGGTTAGCATAAGGTTTCCACTCTGGTTGTAAGTTGCTAAGAAATTTAACATTTATCTCTATGACAGTTTTAGAGATTCCGTTCTTGGTCAACTCATTAAGCAATCTGGTAAGCCTGTCATAAACATCGTCAAGGCTCTCTCCGTCTTTAGCCTTGAACTCTTTATAAGCCGATATACAGTTAGTGATTTTTAACTGAGTTCCGACTTTGGAACCCATCATCATCTTTTCAATTTGAACCCACATGTTGTGACCAGAAGATTTATGGCTGTCAATGCTCGTGTAGATATCGTTGGTCAGTGCTTGCATCATGTATGACTTGCATAACACATCAGCATGGGCTCTCTCATTTTCTTCCACAGTGTATCTGAACTTTTCTTTTATTACTCTTTGCGCAGGTCTGCCTTCTTCAGGAAATTGAGGAATCTATCCTTCCACTGGTTATAGTCTCCTCTTTCATTCTCTCAATAAAATTGAGGAATCTATCCCTCCACTGGTTATAGTCTCCTCTAAACAATACTGGTGGCTTGGTATAAGTACCAATAGCCATTGCCTCTCTTGAACTCATTTTATCAGATAGGTATGATATATGATCAACTGCACTTCAAAATTTGAATTAAAGGATTAGGATTCAAAAAATATATCAATTAAATCGCACACAAGGATTTGCACTCATTCAAGACTTAGAAAAAATTAAGCACAAAACTTATCCTGATTAGAAATCCGGTCAAGCTTATCCGGATTAGAAGTCCGGACAAAAGAGATAGTAAAGAATTTTCTAATCAAACCAAGTTATCTGGATTAGATATCTAGACAACAAAGAGAATTAAATCGCTCAACTAATCAACAAATCCGGATGAGAAATTCGGTGAATTCCAACACTTAGTCAAAAAAACACACAATTAAGAAATCTCAATACGGATGATTCAAACACTTAGTCAAATTCACAAAAATGAATACGGACGTAAAAAGTCAACAAGTCAAGTCAACTAAGTCAACAAGTCAATACGAACAAATCCGCTCAATTAGTCAAACAATTCAAATCGCTCACTAAAGAAAGTCAAACACCGCTCAACAATCCGTGCAAACAAGTCAAAGTCAAAAATCGCAGAGATCAAATCACATACAACAGAAGATTAAATCGCTCAAATAAATAGCACAGATAACAACTGGATTACCAAAAAATCGCACAACGAATCGACTAAATCGCACAAAGAATCAACTAAATCGCTCAAGAAACACCCGTATTACCAACAAATCGTACAACGAATCAACGATTTACCAAGCGGATTAAGCTAAATCGGTCACTAAATGGAACAAGTAACATGCGATTTACCTATAAATCGATCAAGTCTTACCCGGTTTATCCTAAATCGAACAAACAATCAATTCACAGAAAATTCACAAGACTTAAATCGAACAAGCTTTAAGCGATTTACACTAAACCGATCAAGAGTTATACGGATTAGAATTCAAGCACAAACACAAATTTTAACACTTTTTCACCAAAAAAATGGATCAAAACAAGCAAAAATATGGGTTTTTCAAGAACAGAAATAGATTTCGTAAACTCAAAAATCGATCAAAAATGGTTCAAAACTTGTTTAAAATCAAAATCGATGTGAATCAAAGTTGTTTAGATTGAAATTGCGAATTCAGTAGTGCAAATTATATCAAATAACAATCAAAATCGATGTGATTCAAGCCAAAATATGCAATTCTGGACGAAGAACTTCAAGAACAGATGAAGAACATATATGAACAGTCCGTTAAATCTACTAAAATCGGTGCAAAATCCTCGAAAATTTTGTTTAATCCTCCAAACAAATTGCTGCAGATAGCTCTGATACCAATTGAAGTGCCCAAATCATATAAAATCAAAATTAATCTTCAAGAATCAAGAACAAGATGAATTTAGAGAGAGATTTTCACCAAATCTTCAATAGATTTCTTGAGAGAATTTCTTACAATGATTACAGCTCTAATCAGATTAAACAAGTGAACTAATGACAATTAGGAAACTAATTACTATTTATACTAAGAAAAATAGTAAAGCCTAACTATTACAAAACAATACAAAGGGAGAACTTGAACACAACTTTAACGCACATTCTAGAACCCAACACAGTGATTCTCTTATCACTGACACTGAAGGTTTTATGAAAATATACTTTTCTAAGTTATTTTTAGTTCTTAAAACAAAACCATCACTGAAACTTTTTTCTTCTTTAGTGATCATATTATTTTTAAAAGGTTATTATTGAGTGATTAACTTATCACTTAATATGACTCGTCAAATTTCTTAAAACTTTTTCGTTTTAAAAGAAATAGTTGATGAACCATTTTTATGATGACAATCTCCGTTTTCAATACGAGATGCTTTGAGACGTGCGTAAAAGACTGACACACGCGACCTCCTCCAACTTCCATCCAATCATGGATGAGAACGTGACGTTTCTTTCGTCATGGCGTTTCCTCAATAGTCGTATTTTCCTCTCTCCTATTTCTTTTCTCTCTCCTTCTACCTATAAATATGAGACTCTTCCTCTCATATTTCCTTTACAGTTACAAAAATCTTTGACGAACCTCAGCTAAAAGGACTTTGCAAGCAAGAACTTTGCAAGCAAGAACTCTAAGAACTCTCGAATCCTTCGACCTTCTTCTCAAACAACTCTAAAGCCGATATTTATTCTTTAAACTTAGAACTATTCTTCTTCTTCAAATGAAACTATGTTTGAGATTTTAAGAACCTTGTTCTCTTAAAACACAAATAGAAAGATTAATAACACATTCTTATTCTTGGTTATAATCTTGTTTCAAAACATAAATCTACTTGAAAAACCCTAATATCTCATTTGAGGATTTTTCAAAAGAAGTTTTTATAAAACTTAAAAAGATCACAACAAATCTTGGACTACTAACAACTGTTATTTCCTGTGTCTTAAAACTATAACAGACAATGGCTGCCAAGAATGTGAACTTCTCCATTGAAGACATATCTTTCAAGGCTAATAACCACGTTGCCTTGTTGGACATTCTTTCCAACAAGACCATTTACGAAGATGCAGTTGCCTTCCTCAAGATGTCCCTCATCGCATACGCTCTCAACCGTGAACCTGTCATGGTTAGGGAGGCCCTTCAGCAATTCTAGATGACTGCTGAGGTGGTGCAAGAAGAGGACAAGAACGGTCAAAAGGTGGAGAAAATCTCCTTCACCTTCAACAGGATGACCGTAAGCTTTGGCATGACCACTCTCAGGCATGCTTTTCGCTTCCCTAAGGGTCCGTTCGTTAGCGACCCTTCGACTGAAATCATCATCACTTGCCTCGATGATATGGGCTACCAATGGCCTTTGAAGAAAGACTCCGGCGAGCCGCTCAAATCTCTATCGAAGATTGAAAAGAACTTCATGTCAGCGGTATGACAATACCTCTTCTCTCACTTCATCCAGAGCATGGGTGGAAAGACTGGCGGTCAAGATCAAGCATCATGGGTTGCTCTCACTATCGCCGTGTCAGTAATCTGCCGCCGACCCATCAACTATGCTGCGGTGATCTTTGAAGACCTGGCGCTGAAGCTCAACAAGCGCCAGAGGGAGAAATTGGTTCCATACACCCATTTTCTCTTGATGGTTTTCGCCAAGATCTTTGGCAAAAAATACTCCAAGGAGGGTAACCTTCCTGTCTGCAAGCTTGGATCTAAGATTCTGGATCACAAGCTGAGGGATGGAGATATTGCACTGTCTGCTGTACTGCCACACTCTTCTATTCCTCCTCCTTCTTCTTCTTCTCCTTCGATGGTCAAGACAAAGGCAAACCCCCCTATGTCTAACCCAGCCACCACAACCCTTTCTTCTGAACGCCCAACATAACCAACTCTTGGTTCTCCTTAGCGAGCCAAGAAGGCCAAAAAGGGGATAACCACATCTCTGGCTATGACCTCTCAAAAGGTCTCAGCTATTGAAAAGAGCCTTACCCCCGAGACACCTTCAGTTAGACATCTAAGCTCTTTAGTGATTCATGATATCACTGTCGTATCAATGGCACCTCTCCCAACCGCCTCAGTGACTCAAATCACTGAAGGTGTGAATATCAGCTCTCTCCACTACTGATCACTCACAATCACTCTTAGCCATATTCTCATCTCCTCTATCATTGGTCGCTACACGCATCCATGATTCATCAGTGAATGTCATCCCTGATGATTAGACACTCACCACTGGACTTGAGGTAGCTCCTCTTGAGGCTCCTCGGCAAATTGGTGCTCATCCTTTCAAGTGCACCATGGAGCACACCAACGTTAATCTTTCTAATAACGCTGATGACCCCTCAGGTATTCCATTTTCCTATCCTTTCGTTTCATCTAACCCCGAGCTCTCTTATGCTCATTTTCCTTCTTTTACAGGTCCTTTTGCTGAACCAGCCATGGAAGATTCTTATGACATGGCTGAAGACGTGAAGCTGCTTCTTCCAACAGTTGAGACTATCCTTAACAAAATGGACGAAGTCCATAAGGGTATGCCTCAACGGGATGAAGTAGTTGCTGACCTCTCAGCCATCAAGGCTGAATTCATGAGGTCCAAAAACAACTCTCCTCCATGCAAGTGGCAGTTCAAGCCAATGCTGAGGCCATAGTTGCTTTAACAAGCAAGGCCGATGAAGCAAACTCCCACCTTTCACAACAGATAGAGGTCATGAAGCAGATACTGGTTGCTCTACAACAACCAATCCCGACAGCTGAACTGTCATTCACTGCTGATGACTGTGACCAGCTAAATCAGGCACACGAGGCTAATGTCATTATGGCCCGTGCTTTGACCAAGCTCGAGGAGCTGATGAAGTTCCATATTCACACAGTCGACCACTTCTTCGGCTATGGCTCTAAAACAATAGTCAAAGAGGGGGGAGACAGTGACTGAAGCTATTTATTCCGATTTTGTTGTATTCCAGCAACTAAAGCTGAAGCTCCTATAGCTGAAGCTGAAGCTGTTGTTATTGATGACTCTCCGACTTCCTATGAAGTTCTCGTAGCTGAGGATGTTGATGCCGCCCGAGCTGAAGCTCGTGACGGTGATCCTCCAGTCACCTCTGCAGCTGATACTGGTGATCTAGATAACGATGAAGAAGACGGTGAGTCCCTCGAACTTCGTGATGCTGGCAAAGACCTGGACGATAATGACGATGAAGACAACGATGATGACGACTTCATGATTTAGTACTAGGGACCTGCTAGTGCCACGAAAAGCATCGCCCTAAAGGATTCCGCATCCCAGAGGTAGCAAGGGGTGAAAGAGGCTACTCAAGAAAAGCACTAGGGCACCAAGTCTAAGGACAAAGGTGTGTTTGAAGAAAGGAATCTAAAAGTACTATTCCAAACTCCTCAACCCTTACTTGAAGACTCCTCATCTCAGGTAGTCATCACCTCTCTATATCAACTCGAGATACCCTTAACTACCTGTGGTCGGCTGGAATAGGTCCCTGAGAACCCTACCCTCATCACTCCTACCGACTAGCAGATGACTCAGCTCAGGGAGTCACTCGACCAAACTAGAGTAAAAATCCCTCTTCGTACCTCTAGTTGTGGTGAGTCCGGATTCCTAACATAAGCTGAAAGACTCAAGGCCTTAAGAGCTGAGGAACAACTTGCAATTCAAAAGAAGCAGACTGAGGACAACTTAAAGCTGGTCAAGTCTCTAGCTAAAAAAGTTCTTCCCAAAAGAATGTCCAAAAAGAAGGTGAACGCTGTCCAGACCCAGGCTAAGCTTCCATCTATTGCAGAAGCTAAACGTGAGAAGAACCTGAAGTTGGCTGAGCGGGACAAGCACTGGAGCGAAGGAAGTATAAATAAGAGAATCAGTCCTCACCTGATCAAGAGCATCAGCATCATCGGACATTCAAAAGACAGTGGGATGCTGCTCTCCATGCTCATCACTAGGGACAATCTCAAGGCCGTGACCGAGTATCCCTCCTACCTTGGCGAATATGGATATAGAGAATCGCTAGAGTTCCTACAAGCCGTTTAATGCTCAAAGTCCATACATCAAACGATTATCGAAGACCTTATCAACGAGTTGATCAAGAAGGTATCCAGATATGTCGTAGTCCCTGAAATGTCTACGTTGAAGAAATGAGGAAGAAGAAAAAGACCTTCAAGTCCTAATGATGGACCATCCCTGAGGAATGAACATGAAACATAGTTTTCGTTAGATGAAGTCCTGAAAGCTTCGAAGAAGCCAGACATCTCTATGTTGAATCTCTCATTGCCACCGAAGGGTCCCTATATACCCAACACTGTGCATATGAAGCCTGAGTTAGGATTTATTTTCCTTGACTATGATGACAAAGTCAGCTTCCAAAGAATGTTTGAGTTGCATATCTACCCAATGGAACATCTTGCATACATCCGTTATTGGCTGAACGATGACATATATGGTGAAACGATGGACATCAGGATCAGAAAGGAATTTCGACGTAGAAAGGAGCTCAGAGAAGATATACATGGTTACATTATTCTAAACAACTTAGATTAGTTATTTCTTTTGTACTTTGTTCTTTCACTGTATAAACTATATTCTATGTCTATTTTCAGTGATTATTCTTATATCTTGTAAGTATTAGACATGTACTGAAGACTTGTAATATTTCTTTTGAAATTAATATAAGTATTTTTGTGCATCACTGAAAAAGATCCTTAAAAAGAGTAACAGGAACACAAGTCTATGAGTTCCAGTGTTACTCTTACCTTTACTAACAATCTATAAGTTAGTGAATATGTTTTCAGTTTCAGTTTCCTTTCTTTTAATTTTTTCTTAGACTTAAACTTAAGAAAATTTTCTAAGTAAAGACTGACTCACTGAAATAGATTCCAAAACAGTTAAAAGAGACATGTACTTTATATGTAACTTTTTGTTACTGTTATTTGATAAGACAACTTTCTTTATGTTGCCTTGTTATCATCAAATAGGGGGAGATTGTTGATCCTCTCTCTCAGTGAATTGATGATAATATTTTTTACCTTATACGAAGTATTTATGTTTATGTCTTTCAGTTCCAGCGATCATCATTGAGTCTATTTAGTGATCGCTAAGAACATGTAATGTAAATCCATCAGCGACAGCAATACTTCAAGAAGAGAAAACTCACACCAAAGAACCTTCAGCAAAAGTCAAAGACTAAAACTAAAGATTAAAGACTGGCGAGTTCGTGATCTGAAGCGGTATTCATTGATTACAACCTGTGCATCACATTTGTGAAGACTGCCCAAGCCTCAGTAAATGCTGAAGGGACCTTCAGGTTATTCCAGAATTCAGCGATCAAAAGAAACTTGTTGTGCATAATTGTTTTTGTCTTGTCCTTATACACACAAAGGACAAACCCATACCCTTTCTAGAGCATAATACGGTACGGAGCCGATTAGTTGACTCTACTACCCACCAACTTCATGAAAGGATGTCTGCTCATGAATAGGCTTTTGTACTATTCACTGTAGCAAAGGACAAGTCTTTCTCTAAAGGCTTGACACGTGTTCAAACCCTAATGCATTGCATTAAATGTGCATTTAATGCAATGGGTATAAATAGATGTGTTCTATCTCCATGTAGAGATACTGATACTTATTCTTGAATGCTAACTTATGTTCATAAGTAAAAGAACACACATCTAATAACATAATACGCTTATCTTTAGAATCAAGTTAGAATCCCTTTTTAGTATTCTAAGTAGTTCTTACCAAGAAAGAACTTACTTTATTCTAAGTCTTATACAACAAATCATTTCTCTTTGCTAAGAATTAGTGTGTAACTTAGATTGTTTAGAGAAGTTATATTTACCTTATCTTTCCACAAACAATTTTGTAAAATCTGTATTGATCCTTCTTTATCAATATATATTTTAAATTTGAAAAGTTTATTGTGTTTGTATTCATCCCCCTCCTTCTACAAATTGTTATACACATCTTGTAGACCTAATGGGACCAACAAGGTAACATTTTCATTTTCATTGATTACAATTGATTTATGTTTAATCTCTTAGTCGTAACAACTTCGATACGAATTATGTGACAATTTTAGTTCTGTGAGTATACGAATTATACGAATTTTGTGACAAATGATCCACTACAATTGATTTAAGTTTGCTACGATCTTTGAAAATCACTGTATTCTCAAAGAAACTAACATTTACGCACTTCTCACTCAGTGGTTTTAAAGGTCATTAAAAAAATGGTAATGTAGCCAAAGAATTGATGGAGCAGAAGAACTCTTCTGGTAAATTTTTATCTATATATGGTTAGGGGACCTTCACTTTTTCCTAACTTAAATTTGTAGTACAGTTGATGGTGATACTGATATGTCTCCCCTATGAAATGCCAATGGAGTCTTTGAATTTATTACATGCTTCTTATCTGCCAGAAATCCAGCTGCAATTAAGACATGAACTTTGAATTCATACACAATTATGCATATGTACACCCTAGCATTAATTATATTTGGTTTTATCAAGGACTGTAGAAATTATGATGCAAAGAAAGATCCTAATCCAGTACCTGCTACTTTGTCAGTGCCCTTCACTGTTCTGTACATCTGAATGAATGTTGAAGAGTAAATCAAATCTCATGACTGCAAGTGTTATTAGTCCTTTAATTTTTTCGTCATAATTTTATAAGTTATTCTTTAGGTTGTTATTTCTGCATTGAAGTTCCTGTTTTAGTTTCCTAGTTTTTCAGTTCCTGTTCATACATAAGGAATTGGTTCCTCAACTACGAAGAATCAGAATTTGATACTGTAAACTTTCATTCAATTTATTTAATTTGGCTATAGTGACAGTGGTTGGGTATTATATATGTCCCATAGATAATAAATGTAGTACATCATGATACAACCTTAGACTAGGTTCTGGGGTTATCGCGATGAACGTAAATTAACAGGACACCATGTTCATTGCATTATCGTTTTCAGAGGCAGAAAAGATATCCACTTCAATGTCATCAACTTCTGAAGTAGTATGGCTTACGAAAATATTTCTTGCTGATTACTTGGGAAAGAACAAATTTTACAACTAAAATCTTTCAACTAAATTAGATAGGGAAGTGTTTGTGCAAGCTTGGCAAAGTGCAGGTGCAGATACACATTAATGATAGTGGTATCCCAAGATACATTAAGTTGGTTTAAGCTGTTTAATGGTGCAACCATAGCCCTAAAGCTTTAGTTAATGTTTATTTCTTATAATACTTGGTGTTTAATTTGTTTATATTTAAGGTTAATTTGTTTGTATTTCTATTAATATTTATAGTCAGGTTATATATTTTCTTTATATTTAAACAAAATGTTGATTACAGAAAATGACCCCACACGGACCCGTCTCCAAGGACACAAGTGAAAGTGAGTGTGAGGAGGGATTGAACCCGAGAAGGGATCAAACTAGGGAGTTATCTTGTATTTGGGCAAAATCGTCCCGTTCCTTTCCCAACTAAGCTACAATTCGAAGACGTTAATTTGTTTATATTCCCGTAAATATCCAACCCCCACAACTCTTCTCCATATTCCCATCTCTCTCTCTCTCTCTAGTACTGCTCTTTTCTTGGTTATTAAGGATTTTAGAAAGTTGAGAGAATGTGTAATAAAAAAACAAGACATGTGTCTTTATATTATTATTATTTTGTTAATTGGAGCCTTTTGTTATTTATTTAGTGGCCAAGATGGATAATAGTTGGATGTTGTTACCAAGAATGACTATTGAGTGTCAAAGATCCTTGGCAGAATTTCTAGGTATTATGTTTTCTAACAAGTGTTCAAGTGGGCAGATGATATTTCCATGCATTAAATGCGGTAACGAGGTAAGGGTTACTCAAGAGGAGGCTAGAATGCATCTCATATGTGATGGATGTTTAAAAGGTTATAGAATTACACCTTCTATTTGCCAACCCTCTCGTCCTATATTGGATACACTCGATGACATGCAAGGATTGGTGCATGATGCCTTTGGTATCTTAAATAAAAACATACGTGAAGATGAAATAAACGTAGAAAAGGAAGAACTGGATGAGCCAAATCCAGAAGCAAAAAAGTTTTATAAACTGTTGGAAGATGCAGAGAAAGAACTATATCTCGGATGTGAAAAGTTCTCCATACTTTCATTTATCGTTAGACTATTTCATAGCAAGTGTATAGGGAAATGCAATGACCAAGGTTTTACCATGATGCTTGATACATTGAGGGAG